TGCACGATGTTAATAGCACAACGGGAACAGTTTTACGTCATAAATCGTCATTTCACAGTGATACTAAAGAAAATCCTCGGAAATTATTTTCATGAAAAAAAGATTAAGTCATTCAGCACTATATGTTTTCGAAATCAACATTAATCTTTGATCTCTGTCCATCTTCTAAGTCATATATTACTTTCTGAACATATATCAGTTTTGTAAAGCTATTGTTGTAAAATATTCTAAACGTATTTGCCATATTAATTAATATGGCAAAGTATTTCCTCTACTATCTGGTGTAAAGATGTAATGATCACTCTGTATCTCCAGATACATGGCATCCACGTCTCTGTCTGTTGGAACTTGGGCTCCAAAAGATCGTCTCCACAACACTGAGTGTCTTTTATTTGGCATTGGTAGCGTCAGTCGATCTTGAGGCTCAAAGTATACTTCAGGTTGAGCTACAACATTGTCCTCTTTCCTCGAACAAATACAGAAATAATAAACAGGAATAATGATAGAAAATACAATGACAAGAACCAATACAGATACAACAACAAGTAAAACCGGTAAAGAAACACCTTTCCTGTTAGATGGATTATGGTCCGTTGATTCAATTGCATTGGTATTTGGTTTTTTATTACTTTCATTGTCAGTGTCAATTACTTTCATACTCACTTGATATGTCACCTGACCCACAGTATTTTTTGCTGTGCATTTTACAGTCAATCCATTGTCGTCAATGGTAACAAGTAAAATACGCATAACTTGTCCTATATCATCAACATCATAACGATCAATGTTTAAAGGTGGATTAAAATTCCATATGAAGTCCGTTACTGGTGGGTTTGCATTGGTCTGACAAATAAAAATGGCTTCTCTTCCTGATAGCGTCGTTCCTGCGTGTTGAATGGTGATATTAGGTTTATACCATACATTCAATGGCCCAAAGCTACAGTTTCTGACAATACTAGGATCAGCTGGAGTTTTGAGGATGCAGGTATATACGGCATGGTTATCTTTATGTTTGGCGGTAAACGAATATATAGCGTATGTTTTTTCAGAACGTCGATACGTTTGGTCATCGGTAGACAATTCGTATCCAATCCTTGACCAACTTAAATCAATTGGAGGGTTAATCGTCTCTCCTTCACACTTCAAATGTATTTCTTTCCCAGTGACGACTGTTTGAGGTACGCCGGTACATATTGGATATGGTGATCCTGGTAACTGAAAAACTGCCACCACAGCGTATTGCGATTGTAGTATTTGTTCGCCATTTTGAAAAACAACACATGCATACGCCCCACCATCATCATAAACAATTGTAGAGAGAGATATTGTATATGAATATGCACCTACTGTTTGTTTAATGTCCACAGTTATTCTGTTTTTATTTAAACCGCTTGCCTCTAATATTGTTTCTCCTTCGGATAATTTTACACCATCCTTTACCCAAGATAATTCGTCTTGTAGGATATCGCCAGTTAAAAAGCACGTAAGCTCCACACTAGAACCTTCATGTATTTTTCCACCTATCGGATTGTGAGTAAATTGAAGACAGCAAGCAGTACTGAAATGGCATAATAATACAAAATATATTAATGATTCCATTATAATATTGAGTAATCCACAGTCGAAATTTTCACTAACTCATTTTCCGTTAAAAAAAATATTAGTTCCAAGAACGATCTGGGCCTATACATCAATACGTGTTCAGTGTCATTAATAGGACATACATTATTATTTGGATATGAGTAACAGACCACTCCTCTTATGAATATTCAACGTAATATGGCCATTCTCATAGAACACGGTGGTTCTGAATCAATTGATTTGGTAACTTTTTCAACAAAAAAGAAATCAAAATAATTTTCACACCCCATTCTTAAAATGTATAGCTTATATTAATGACAATGATGATGGTGACAGTAACGTAAACATAGTATGTTCTTTAAATAACACATGGATAAAGGAATAAAAAGGTCACGTGTAGGTCTACAATCTAAAATGTTGATGGAGTCGGTGCATAGTTCAATTCATTTTGTTTATCTCTCTCTAGGCATACACAAGATCTTAAATTTTAAAAGGCCATTTAGGGAAACAAAACGAATGATATTGTGCCCAGTAGGGCGAAATATTTTTACCATGTTCCATCCTATGATGGTGCATTAATAAGTTTATTGAAAAATTAAACTTTCAAAATTTATCCCGTGCTGTTCAATATTAGGATGGGTTATTCGATGTAGTGTTGAAGCACCATTGAATTGAAGCCGTAAGGAAAGCAAAATATAATGTGATACTACCCTGTATCAGAGGCGGATCCAACCGGTTAAAAAAGGGTTGGGGCATAATTGTGCGTGCAGGGCGCGCTTTTCCTTTTTTAGCTCTAGCATCTTCGTTAAGTTGACGTTGTATGTAGTAAATTTTGCATGGTAATTATCTGTTAAGCTTCACAAAATATTTTTACTAAAAAAAAAAAAAAAGTTGGAGGGGCGTACGCTTCACACAGCCCTCTAAATCCGCACTGCTGTATTTCAGTGTAAGCCTTTATGGCATAATGATGGTAGTGAAGGTGATAAAGGGCGCAATAAAACGATAACATTAACATTGGTTTTTTTTTTTATTACTAAAGTAAAATGGATCAACTGGAAATATCCATATAATATAATATAGCTGATAATGTTCTTTTGGTGCCAGTGGTGATGATGTTGACAACATTGATGGTTTAATGAAAAAAATAAATAAATTCACAGCAACAGAATAGACAATATTTACATATTATTTAACTTTATGCGACAAGGTGCTTTCAGTATATATTTACACATTACATTAACATTTATATTTTTAAACTCTTTTTTTGAAAGTATTTCTGACAATTTTTTTTTCTATAATTCAAATATATAATATATATACATTCATTAATCTTTATGTAAAGAGTGGCACAACAGGTATTATGTAGTTAAATTCAAAGTAAAACCCAAAGAAAATAATTTCCCACCTATAAAAAATAATAATAGTCCTAATAATAATGACGTGTCTGTATTTCGAACATATCTACAGACCAACGGGCCAAAGCCTCTATTACAAAAGACGGATAACACAACCTTTTTAGAAAGTAGCCAATGTTATGTATTTTAATTTTAAATAATAATCAAAAAGAGATCCTAATGACGAGTAGACCTACATTCATGTGTAATGATCGACAGGCAAATATCGGGATTCTGTTTTTAAAGTATTAATATTTGGGATATATTTTCAGCATGCGTCCAAGAGAAGTATTGCAAATAGTAAAGATTGCTACAGTGCTTTTAACAGTTTTTAGACGTAGTAGATGTGTGATGTTTTCGAAAGCGCCTGAAAATGTGGACGCCATTACAGATACTTCACCAGTTCTCAGCTGTGAAATTAAAAACCTGGATGCCGGACTGAAATTACGGTGGGTGAAAGATGGAGTGACATTGGTAGAAGAAGAATTTTCAAATTCAAAATATGAAACACAAAAATTACCGATATCTTTCGGTTATTTATACACATTAAAGATAAAGGAAGTGATTGAATCTGACGGAGGGGATTACGTTTGTGAAATCCACAATAAAAAGAATATATTAGTGCTACGATCTGACTCTACACACTTAACTGTTCTGCAAACGCCACACGATGAATATCCCAAATGCAAAGCACCAAATGACTACTATCTACTTGGTTCTAAAGTCATGGTCAGTTGCATTAGTCAGATAGTTAACCCACCAATCATTCTTACATGGTGGAATCAAGGAATACGAATTGTAAACGGAATTGAAACAGAAAGTAAGAATGACCTTGTATACAGTCACTATAGGTTTACGGCAACTAAAAAGCACAATTCAAAGATATTTGTGTGTAATCAAACGTCATCAATTCCTGAAATAAACCCTGTCACGTGTTCTTTTGAACCTCTCGATATTTACTACAAACCCGAAATATCCATAGAACACACGAACGAAATTATTGCCGGGACAAATTCTATTATATTTTGCAAAGAAGTCTCCAATCCTCCAGTAACTAAGTATACTTGGACTTTTAGTTCTCAACTAAACAAAAGTGAATACCAACCAGATGGCCAGGTTTTAAGGCTATTAAAGGTATCAATAAAAATAAACGGTTTGAAAATTAATTGTACCGCAGAAAATAAAGCCGGAATAACAACGGAAACAACAACCTTAAATGTGATAAAAGAAGATATTGAATATTTTGATAATTATCAAAATGATATACTAAACTCTCAGAATGATTACGAGTTTAATGAAGATGGAAAAGACGATGATAAGGTTTCGTTATCAGTCGTAATCGTCGTAATCATAGTAATTGTTGTTATATTAGTTATTGTTATATTAATTCCTGTATACTACCATTGTATCTGCAAAAATGACACACCAGTAAATCTTACTGGTAGGGAGATATACCAGCCTACTGTGTACTATGACACCAGAGAGCGTACTTCTAGCGGTCTTTACGATCGATCTTTGCCTCGTTTACCAAACACTGGACACTATGGTCACTGGCGACACTCATTTGCTTCCCAAGTTCCTGAAGATCTTGATCAACAAGGATACATGTACATTGAAGAGACAAATAGACAGAATACACTATGACCTATTAAAATATACGTTGATGGTTAGATAGTGTCATTTCACAATAGTATCTCACCTCATTCTGAAGTTCTAAATACTTCGATATTTAAAAGTTTCCTCAAATATTTCATAAGCGAAAGTTTACAGACAATCCATAAACACTATAATATGCTTGATGTGGGATAATATAAGACCTAGTAAAGTACTGATTGCTACAAAAAATATCTATAAAATGCTAGTACAATACTACGCATGATTTCAAAGTTATCTTGTTTTCTGATACGAGTACCACGATTGTTAATGAGACTGGCTATAATATTAAGAAATATACACTGCAAATCACTGGCCCAAAGGGATGTAAACACAGATCGCCAGTGATGTTTAGAGTAGCAAATAACTTCGGTTCGATGAATTTTTAAAACATAACAATACAATGGCTTGTGTTATGTCAAATATTATATATTTTGTTGATATATATGTCCTATTTCTTCTAATGAGGTTGTGTTTTTGCACCGTGAGTTTTACAAAGGATCCATCCAACAAAGACGCATTTTTGAAGAATTCACCGTTCCTTAGTTGTGAAGTGCAGGACTTAAGTTCAACTCAAACTATATCTTGGGTAAAAGATAGTATGGTCATAGCTGATAATGTATTTGAAGACGATCACTTTGAGACAAGACTACTAGAGACTTCTTCTGGGCATCTGTATACGATAGCAATAAAGAACGTGGTACTATCAGATGAAGGCGATTACCGATGCGAAGTACGTGATGATGCAAGTAACCGTCTTATTGCTTATTCTAAATCTGCTCGCCTATTTGTTCTTCAGACACCAGATGAAAAATATCCAGAATGCGTCTCACCAACGACGGATAGTCTAATTGATTCCGAAATTGAACTAACTTGCATCAGTCAGAAGGTAAACCCTGCAGTTAAGCTAACATGGTGGGATCAAGGAATGCGTATTGTAAACGGAATTAAAACAGAAAGTAAGAATGACCTTGTTTACAGTCACTATAGGTTTACTGCAACTAAAAAGCACAATTCGAAGATGTTTATGTGTAATCAAACGTCATCAATTCCTAAAATGAACCCTGTCATGTGTTCTTTTAAACCTCTCGATATTTACTACAAGCCCGAAATATCCATAGAACACACGAATGAAATTATTGCCGGGACAGATTCTATCATATTTTGCAAAGAAGTCTCCAATCCTCCAGTAAATAAATATATTTGGACCTTTAGTTCTCAGCTTAACAAAAGTGAATATCAATCAGACGGACAGGTTTTAAGACTATTAAAAGTATCAATAAAAAGAAATGGTTTGAAAATTAATTGTACCGCAGAAAATAAAGCCGGAATAACGACGGAAACAACAACTTTAAATGTGATCAAAGAAGATGTTGATTATTTTGATGATTATCAAAATAATATACAAAACTCTCAGAATGTATACGAGTTTAATGAAGATACAAAAGACGATGATAAGGTTTCGTTATCAGTAGTAATCGTCGTAATAATTGTTATAGTTGTTATATTAGTCATTGTTATAATCTGGCTCTTATACACATCTAGATGGGTATAAGAGACAGGGACTTAAGTTCAACTCAAACTATATCTTGGGTAAAAGATAGTATGGTCATAGCTAATAATGTATTTGAAGACGATCACTTTGAGACAAGACTACAAGAGACTTCTTCTGGGCATCTGTATACGATAGCAATAAAGAACGTGGTACTATCAGATGAAGGCGATTACCGATGCGAAGTACGTGATGATGCAAGTAACCGTCTTATTGCTTATTCTAAATC